CTGTACCAAAGTGGTTGTTATACATAAATATACATCTTCTTTTTCATATTCTTTGGAATGTAAGTTTTTTTAAAAATTTATTTTGTTGAGGTAGAGTTGATTTATAGTGCCATGTTAATTTCTACTGTACAGCAAAGTTATTCAGTTATACCCATATATATACACATTCTTTTTCATATTCTCTGGAATCTGTTAAGTTGAAGGAAGCTGCTCATACCATACATTGATTTAACCACTCTTTGTTTCTCTATATTGGAAGAAAAACAAGAATGCACTTTAAAAACCACTTCTGGTTTATAAGGTGACCCATCAATCCTCACAGTGACAGGAAATCAAGATGATTTTGTCTGCGGGGTTTCATTTATTAAAATTTAATTTGCTCCTGCGCTTGGCTCCGGTCGCTCTGTGCTAGCAAACTAGCTATAATTAGATTAGCAGCCTGCTAAACGCTGGTGACAGCTGAGCCTCAGAGAGCATGTGCCGGATTCCGCCCCAGCCGCTCCTCATTGGTTGCCAGCCGCGCTGCTCGCCGGTTTGATAGGTTTCCACAGAACTCTTTATGCTGCATTGGAGACACGGATACAGAAATACTCCGCTGCGTCCTGGCCACGGCCGAGGTGCTTAGCTGTAACGTTACAGGAGGACTCGGGCACCCAGGAGAAGGCGGTCGTCTTTGTTGTGAGAGCAGGGCAGTCACCGGCTGCTGAAAGGGCTCAGGGAAAAAGTTTCAGCTCATGGTAATTACTTTGCATCTTTATCTCGCCTGCAAAACACGGCCATGCATGAAATGAAGCGTGCTCATCATGTCATCTGCTTAATTTGATCTTGCTTTTGTTAATATCACGCATCCCTCCAGCGTTCCATCTCAAATATGCTCTCCCGGAGAAGGCTGAACTGGTAAACAACCAGCTTCTTCGTGCAGGAATCTTGTTTTTACCTGGATGCTAGAGTGCAAGTGCTGGGGAGCAAATCTTATTGGTTTCTCTGCTGTTTGGGGGAGCCCGACACTGCATCCATTTAGGTGTCTCTGGAGGTGCGTTTTGGTACCCATCGACTTTGTTTGCACGGGTCCGGACTCTCCTGAATAATGAGCCCTGGAGGAGAGTTCGGAGAATCACACTTTAATTAGGACAGAGCAGTGGCCCTCCTGGTGTGAGCGCAGGGTCTCAGCAGAAGTAACCTCTATTGTTTCTTCAAAGATGTGTGCAGCCTTCATTTTGGATGGGTTCTCTTTGTTTCCCCTTCTGTAGTTTTCATGAAGCCTCTTTCTTGTAGAGGATGTTCGCATATCCCATTCTTCCAGAGACACCGCAAGGTGTGTATTCGGCCTGTGCCAGACAGAATTTTTGACTCGGGCTTTGTTTAACAGGGATGTTGTTTTGGGGAGTTGACATCACAGAAGGTGGAGTTCTTGCCACTTCGACTGATGTTTGACAACATTTAAAAATTTCTCTTTGTGGTTGCCTGGATGATTTTGCAAATCAAACAGTAAATAATCTTGAATTCTGTGATAAAGATGTTGCATTGGGAAGGAGAAGATATTTGAACAGCCAAGGCTGAGCTTAAAGAAACTCAAGCAAATGCAATCCAAGTGCTTGCTTTTCAGCATATCTAGAACACAGCTTCTCTGCAGAGCTCTGATTTACAGGGGAAGAGCCCCCTTGCCACTGTTTAGCCCCTAGACTTAAAAATTGATGTCCTCACCGTATCAGACGGTGGAGACCACAGAAACTTGTGTATTGAGTCACCAGTCACACGGCTGGCTGACTGCCACCATGCGTCTGGGATCGGTGAAGAAGCCTGCTGGTATCTGAAAGCCGTCAGGAATTATCTCCCTACTCCTGAAAAGCCAGACGTTGCCATTTAAAAATCTGGTTAAAATAATTGCTTTGAATTGAAGCTATAATCTGGCTCAAGGGGTTCAGTGTGTTCTTTGGTGGAGGACAACTTCAGGATACTAACTGTGGTTTCCTCCCCACCCATACCTCCCAGCCCCTGGATATTCCCTCCCTAATCCTTTCCTGGGGCATACTCTTTCTCCCAAATAACGGTTTGTGAAAAAGAACAAGGAATATTCTGAAAGTTTGTCATTTATGGTGATAGGGTGTTGTCTGTAATAAGTTGGATGCGGCTCCTTGTCATCCGGCATCTCAGTTTTGAGATACTGTGTCTGGTGAGATGGGCCGTGGAGGGGTCCCCCTGCAGCCAGCTCTGACTTCCTCTTCGGACGCCCCGATGATGCAAACCACGCCCCTGGTCACATCGCACCAGGTTGCATAGAGGGGGCTGAGGGCATGGCCCTGTTCCTGGCCTTGCTCCTGCTCACCTGCCCGGAACCCTCCTGCCTCTTCATTTTTGCCTGACCTGCTCCTTGTGCAGATGTGGAAAGTAACCTCCTACCCACAGACGGGCTTGGACCCACACTTGGGGAGGAATTAATTGATGCAATCCCACCCTCATCTCTCCCCTTTCCTTCTCTGAATCTCATAAAAACACTTCCTAAACTACCTTGGCTTTAGAGCATCCTAAGAAGTTGACTCTCTTGAAAGTAAATTATTGTTGTCAAACGTACTCCGTGTGAACCTCACTGTGAGCATCTCGCTAGGCTCTGCGTCACGAGAAGCCGTGGGAAGTGGTTCTGGCTGATGCTGACTCTCAGGTTTGGCTCCTGAGACTTTCTGTGTCTAGAAAGAACTTGTTAAAGATGTAAACATTAATATAATGGTGTGTGAATATTGTGTAGTGATTTACTATGATATCCCAGCAGACCTTTTAACATACACTAAAGGGGCATTTTGCTATTCTGATAGCACCAAATAAATTGTTATTTATGTTGTTGCAAAGTAACAAAATCTACTCTTTTATCTTCAGATGAATCACATCTTAAGTTTTTTTAACTACAAGAAGGGGAATCTGTGTATTTCTGAGATAATGAAGTATAAATTAGTGTCTGAGGCACTTTAGCATTTTGTTCTTATAATTCCATAGGTCTTTATTGATGAATGATGACACTTCTGACCTATCAAAAATAGGTCTGTGAACTTGAACTAGAGTATAAAACATAATAGTTTAAAAGTAAAACATTATCTAAGTGATGCTTTCTAACTTTTTCTTTTAGAGGTTTATAATCATAGTAGGAAAAATGATAATCAGATTAAAGATGAAAAGTCCTTCCATGTAGAATTTCATGTTCCACAAAGAAACTAAGGTGATCAGGGTCTGAGAGTTCTAGTGGAAGGAAAGGAGGAACGGTCAGTCCAGGCGTGAAGGGAAGCGCTGCAGTTGTACCTGCGGGTGGCTTTCTGGCTGGTCCCCTGGGCATCTGTGGCATCAAAAGCGTGAGGGAGGGACTTCCCTGGTGGTCCAAGGATTGGGACTCTGCCTTGCAATGCACAGGACTTGGGTTCAGTCCCTGGTCGGGGAACTCAGATGCCACATGCCACAGAGCCACTAAGACCCGACACAGCTAAATTAGATAAATTAATAAATTAAAAAAAAAGCACTGAAGGAAGCCTGTCATTGGCAATCGATAAATATCGCAGGGTTGACACTCCATGCCTGGGCTGTGAAAATGTTTTTGGAGACATTAAGCTTTTCTAGGGGCTTCCCAGGTGGCGCTAATGGTAAAGAACCTGCCTGCAGATGCAGGAGACAAGAGAGACACAGGTTCGATCCCTGGGTTGGAAAGATTCCCCGAAGGAGGGGATGGCAACCCACTCCAGTATTCTTGCCTGCGAAATCCCATGGACAGAGGAGCCTGGTAAGCTGCAGTCCATAGGGTCGCAAAGAGTCGGACACGACTGAAGCAACTTAGCATGCATGCGTGCACTCAGTATCACTTGTCTTATTTGTGGTCTGTAATAAATATCATAACAGAAACTATCATGTATTTTCTTCCTCCTATTTTTGCTTCTCAGAATGCACACTAGATTGTTGCATGAAGAGTATTTTTATACATAGATTTATATCATGTGGGATTCAAAAAAATTTATAATATATCCAGTAATTTAAAAATGCATCATTAGGAGTTCTGTGGTGGTCCAGTGGTTAATACTTTGCCTTACAATGGAGAGGGTGCAGGTTCGATCCCTGGTCAGGCAGCTAAGATACCACATGCCTTGTGGCCAAAAAACCAAACCATAAAAAACAGAAGCAAGATTGTAACAAACTCAATAAAAACTTTAAAAATAGTCCACATGAAAAAAAATCTTTTAGAAATAAATAAGAAATAAAAACGCATCTTAAAGGAATCTCAAAATACCTTCCTTACTGTTGTGCTTTTAGTAATTCAGGGATTGCTTTTGGAACTGCCTGCATTGCCGGGAATTATCATCTGCTATTGGATGCCTGTTGGCTCTTTTATTTGTTTAATTAGCTCTTTTATTTACTTCAGTCATTTATTTTGTACATGGTCATTAAAGAGAAGCCTGTAAAATCTGGGCTTGGAATATAACACTTCTGTTTGACCTTACTATCATTAAGGCCTTCTGCTCTCCTTTTACATTTGATGGAATTTAGGCACATTTTCAGGGCTTCCCTGGTGGCTCAGTGGTAAAGAATCCACCAGCCAGTGCAGGAGATGCGTGTTTGATCTCTGGTCTGGGAAGATCCCCTGAAGAAGAAAATGGCAACCCACTCTGTATTCTTGCCTGGAGAATCCCATGGACAGAGGAGCCTGGCAGGCTACAGGCCATGGGGCTGTAAAGAGTTGGACACGACTTAGGGACTAAACAACAGCAGCCACCTTTATACTTGCTGTCTGTGGTTAAATATGTCCTTGAAAAAGTTGTCAAAGCAAGAACACTGAGCTTGTAAATGAGATGGTTATATAAGGACTAACACAGTTTGGTTTACCTCCCTGTTTGTTATTGTTTTCTTTCAAGTTTATTGACCAAGTTTTAAAAGAATTATTGTTTTCTGTTATTGTGTACAGTTAATCGCCTGGCTATTTTTGTCAAATAGAAAAGCAATAGCTGTCTCTTTTTTGCCTCTATTTTTAGCTATTTCGTGCAGTGGAGAGTACTTGAAGGGGGCGAGGATTCCCTGCGATTCCTGCCTGCAACTGGGCAAACACTCATTCCCCTCTCAGGTAAGTCAACTGCTTTGTTTTGATCCATTCTGAGCAGAAGATATTGATTCTCTCTGAAATCCATGTCAGTATCGCACTAAGACAGAGACAGAGGTTTCAGATGCTTGCTATCTAGCAAAAAAAAAGGCATCCCACTACTGAGGCCCTGCAGGACCCAAAATATTGATAACAGTAATGATGACTTCCTTTCCCAGGAGTTTCCGTGTTGTTGTCAACATGTCTACTGGCAGTTACAGACTTTTAAGGGCTGTGTCATATTAATAGTTACTAGTAATTTCCCTGATATCTAGAATTGTATGAATTTGAAGACAGAATGAAATGAATGAACAGTGAGAAGCACTATGTACTTGGGGAACGAGGTGCTGCTTTCTGGCTGGCCTAATGCTGTGGGGCTAGCAGCAAGTGCCCTGGGGTTTGGGACACAGAGATCTCTGCAGGACGGCCTCCCATGGGAGGTCATGTCAAGAGGGCAGAGCCTCGATGCCAGCCAGGGGACAGGCTGGGGGGGGAGGCGGGCAGGTATTGGAGGATGGAATGTTTGTGTCCATCCTGGGAAAGACTGAAGGCAAAAGGAGAAGAGGGCGGCATAGGATGAGATGGTTGGATGGCATCACTGACTCAATGGACATGAGTTTGAGAAAGCAGCAAGTGCCCTGGGGTTTGGGACACAGAGATCTCTGCAGGACGGCCTCCCATGGGAGGTCATGTCAAGAGGGCAGAGCCTCGATGCCAGCCAAGCGACAGGCTGGGGGGGGAGGCGGGCAGGTATTGGAGGATGGAATGTTTGTGTCCATCCTGGGAAAGGCTGAAGGCAAAAGGAGAAGAGGGCGGCATAGGATGAGATGGTTGGATGGCATCACTGACTCAATGGACATGAGTTTGAGAAAGCTCCAGGAGACGGTGAAGGACAGGGAAGCCTGGTGTGCTGCAGTCCATGGGGTCGCAGAAGCAGGCATGACTGTGCAACTAAGACTAACACAGCAACATAAAGGACATTGCTGGGTGCTTTGTCCCACGTCCACTCCACTCCCAGGTTCCCTCCTGATGGTGAGCATGGAAGCTTCCTATAGCCAGACACATCTTCTCGTGACGGAGCTGAGGAAGTGGGTGAGCAGAGGTCAGTGTCTAGGGGCTTCCTCTGCTCTGACAGAGGGACTGAGATCCCAGTGTCACCAAATGAGGTTGGGAATATTTAGGAAAGAAAGGCAGCTCTCTGGTTAACACAGGTCTCCAGGGACCTGACAAGTGGTGAAAAGCAACCCTTATGAAATCACTAAGTTTGAGACTTGCTGTCCATGTCCCCGAGTGACCACGTGCTTTGGTTTCATTGCCAGCCTTCCTCCAGCCTCTCTTCCAGCATTCACATGTAACGTACCTTTTTACCTGGACAGCATACCATGCATTTTATAGTGGTTTATTATTGCATCATGTGGAACTTTATTGGGTAGATGGTGTTGGCCTCCAGCAGTCTCAGCATCTAACTCAGGCTGACAGAAAAGAATCAGCTTCTGTCTAGTGGAATTCTGCAATGTGTGGAGAGATTCAAGAAAAAGCTAACAACACGTATCAGTGATCTACCCTGAAATCCATCAATGTTATCACCATGTCACCTTATCCCAGATGTGAGAAGCTCTGACATGAAAGCCTTGGGCTCCTTTTGGCTGGAGGAAACTCAGCATCTCCTGTTCCCAGCCCCCAGGTCATAGAAAGGCACCTGCTCACAGGTGGGTTTTATGGAGGTTGCCCCCAACAGAGCCTGTCTTCCCAACTCCACTTGTTCTAGGAACCCACCCCTCTTGATTTGCCCTCAAGTGCAGAGTTTTCTGGAACATGGGACTTTCAAGTGCTAAAAGCAGGACAAGTCCCCAGCAACAAGTAGCATCTTCATCCCTCTCATGATTCCCTGCACCACCCCTCTCCCCTCCACCCAACAGCTGGCTCCTGACAGTAAGGGAATTGGCTGCCCAGGTGACGCAAGTGGTAGAGAACCTGCCTGCCACTGCAGGAGACGGAAGCAACATGGATTTGATCCCTGGGTCGGGAAGATCCCCTGAAGGAGGAAATGGCTATACCCTCTAGTATTCTTGCCTGGAGAATCCCATGGACAGAGGAACCTGGAGGGCTGCAGTCCATAGAGTTGCAAAGAGTCAGACAGGACTGAACACACATGCAGAGTAACCAGGAAAGTACTGGGCATGGGAGGTGGAGTAGACACAGGTGTAGCCTCAGCTCCTCAGCTTACTGGCCCTGCCAGTGGCTTTTACCTCCAGCCTCAGTTACCCACATCCCAAGTAAGAACACAAACACACTCCTAAGGATTTGGGGAAGGTCACGTGACAGCCATGGGAAGTGTCAGGGCAAGCATAGGCCTAAAAGAGGAGGGCCCCTCTTCTTCCCTCCTGGATATGCTCCCTGGAGGCGCTAGTGAGTTACCTTCACGGACGTCATCGTCTTGAACTTTGTCAGTATTACTGTTTGGCCAGGTCTTGCATCAGGGAGATGAGAAAGGGGTCAACCTTGTCAGTCACTGACAGTGTCACCAGGCTGTAAGGTCTAGCTCTGGGCCCCTGTGTCTAATTCTCAAATAATGCCAAGTCATTGTGTGCTAGTTACTTTAAATTGTTTTTGTATCAGTTTTCTCCTAGACCAACTAGAAACAGACAAAAAGTATTCTAGAGATTGCTATGAAAAGCATAGTTTCTGTCTGATTGTCCAGATGTTTTCAGTTGTTTTAGTTAGGCTATTTTCACATGTAAAGTTTGTTAAAACTTTGTTCTTTTCTGAGTTTACAAATGCCAAATAAGTCACCTTATGAAGACTATATATTATTATTGTCATTAACATTTTTCACCACTCCTCGGTGTGTTCATTTAAGATTATTATGTTTTTAAAGTACAAGATGGGTCTTTTTTTTTAAGTGGTCCCTTCTTTAAGGAAACTAAAAAAGAAAGGGCAGGCATAAAATGACCTTATCATGTTCTTTGGGTCAAACTGTTGAGTGTTTTCAGCCTAGAAGCTCAGTGCTCCTGTGTACTGTGTATGTGAGTCACCTTTCGGGGGACACACAGCCACCAACCTTTGTGCATTATTCATGTGATTGAATTTCAGAAAGTAAGTTATAATGTTCCCTTTGGTTATAGTTGCTTGTTATCTTAATCAAACTTAAGTAATTGATAGCGTCAGTTTTCTCCCCGAAAGTTGCCTTTTTCAAAATCTCTCGGGACGGAGTTTTGTTCCTTTAGAGCATGAGTGCTGGGGACTCGGGATTGCTGGGAGCAGAAACGACCTTGCATGTTTGTTTGTGTGTTAAGTGGCCCTGACCGGGCGTACCTGCTAGCTTTCCACATCACTTCTTCTCCATCTCAGTGTCTCGCAAAGCTGGTCATCTGCAGAAAGGAATCTAGTTCTTGTCCATGACTCATCTACCTTTCCTGCCAACATCTCTGACTTCTGCCTTTTCCCACATCAGCTCTCTGCCAGGCGAGTGACTCCGAGCTCAGGTTCCACCAGGCCTGTCCGGTGGCTCCTCCAAACGGGCAAGGCTGACCTTGAGCAGGTCTCCTGGGGCCAGGGAGAGCTGGCAGCCAATGAGAACCTGACCTGGCTCGCTGCCTTTTAGAAAAGACGAGGGAGATGGGGAGAACCTCTGGAAATAGCAGCTGGGATTTCAGTTGTTTTATTCCTCTCATAAAAATTGTATAGACTTCTAGAAGAATAGAAACAGGGCTATTCCCCTCTCTAAAATAAAACCCCAGGACTTCCCTGGTGGACCAGTGGTTGAGACGTCACCTTCCAATGTAGGGGGTACAAGTTCCATCCCTGGTCAGGAAGCTAAGATCCCCTATGCCTTGTGGCCAAAAAAAACCCATAAAACAGGAGCAATATGGTAAAAAATTCAGTAACGACTTTAAAAATGGTCCACATAAAAAAAAAAATCTTCAAAAAAACTTATATAAATAAATAAAGTTCCCCAGTACACAGATTCATTTGTGAGGATTTAGCACACATTTATTTATGAAGTTCAAGAAGCCACTATTGATTGCAATTTAAATTATTGTATTACCAATTAAATGATTTGGCATACTTAAAATTCTCTTTTCTTAAATGAAAGACATATTCTGTAGGTTGCTGTGTGCATAGTTTGTTGTTCGTTATTAATGACTGTTACGTTGTAAGTCAGTTCATTGTCAATGTAGTTGCTTTTCTGCAAAGAGCAGCAACAAAGTTAAGGCTATTGTCTTTGGAAGGCCTGCTCTGGGGCGGGGGTCACAGCACCCCCTGCAGTCTTCACATGCCCTGTAGATTAGTCTTTGTGGTGTAGACAAGGGCACAAGAATCAAAGAGGTTAACCTCATACAGAGGGTGACCATGTGACCAGACACACGCTGGGTATAACACCCAGGCCCGCCTTGACTCTTCTGTCAGACCCCAGACCTGAATTTCATTGCTTACTGATAGAGTCATAAATGGAATGGGGGGATTGGTTGAGGGAAATTGGGCTATGGGGAAAGGAGTGGGAAAGTTTCCAGAGAACACAGCTGTCTGGTGGAATATTATGAGACCCTAGAAACCAGGGGCTTCCCTGGAGGCTTAGTGGTAAAGAATTCGCCTGCAGTGCAGAAGATGTAGGTTTGATCCCTGGATTGAGAAGATCCCCTGGAGTAGGAAATGGCAACCCACTCCAGTATTCTTGCCTGAAAAATTCCATGGACAAAGGAGCCTGGCATGGGCTACATTCCATGGAGTTACGAAAGGGTCGGAGATGACTGAATGACTGAGCATGCATGCTGGAAACCAGGGCAAGTCCTCAATGAATAACAGAAGGGAAGAGGCCAAAAAGTCAAGTGATAAAGAGGCCGTCAGAGCAGGTGCATGAGAGAGAGAGGAAGACACCTTCAGAGTGACCAGACCCTCCTGTCTGGTCTGTTCTCCAGCCTGCTGGGTGTCTGCTGCATCAGTGTGATCGAGAAAGCATTTGTGTG